CCGTGCGCGAGGGCATGTCGATCCCGTACACGTTCACGTGTCTGCACGGGACGGTCAGTCAGCAAGAGGAGGGAAGCAGCGGACAACGGACGGCGCACCGTATAGGGGGCGCACAGCTCGCGACGATGACCTTCTTCGCGCCGACGTCCTTGGCCATCTGCACAATCTCCTTCGAAGTCGTGCCGCGGACGATAGAGTCTGCACGGGTGTTAGCTAGATAGAGATGAGCAGCGCGAGACGACGCACCATCAACGATGAGGACGTTCTTGTCCGCAAACTCGAGCGCCATCGCGTTCAGCTTCCGCCGGACGTTCTTGCGTCTCATCTGCTGTCCGGGCATGATGAACGTCCGCCCGACGTACCGGTTCTTGATGAACCCCTCGCGGTACGGCAGGCCCAGCTTCTGCGCCAAGTTCAGCGCCGCGACCCGCGACGTGTCCGGGACAGGGATGACGACGTCCACCGTGAGATTGCGCTCGCGCAGGACGCGCTCCACCTCGTCCGCCAACGCGTCGCCCATCGCCATCCGACTCCGGTACACGCTGATCCCGTCCAGGACCGAGTCCGGGCGCGCGAAGTACACGTACTCGAAGATGTCCGGCGCGAATGTCGCGGGCTGGCTCACCTGCCGCCTGCTCACGCCGCTGCGCGTGATGATGACCGCCTCGCCGGGCTTGACGTCCTCCCAGTCGGTGAAGCTGCTGGCGTCCGCGACGACGCTCTCGCTCGCGAACAGCCAGTCCTTCCCGGGACCGCCGCCGAGGGCCTTGCGCGAGCCCATCCCGAGGGGACGGATGCCGTTCGGGTCGCGGAACGCGATGATGCCGAAGCCTGCGAGCATCGCGACGCACGCGTACGCGCCCTTGACCTGCTCCATGAGCCCGCCGATGGCGGTGAAGATGTCCTCCTCGTTGATACGGAACTTGCCCGTCTTTTGGAGGTTGTCGGCGAAGATGTTGAGGAGGAGCTCGGAGTCGGAGGTCGTGTTGATGTGTCGATGCGCGACGGCGTCCATGAAGTGGAGGAGAGAGGAGGTGTTGATGAGGTTGCCATTCTGTATCAGTGGTCAGCGACTATAGATCTCGGCATGGGACGCAAGGAGATCGAGAACAAGTCACTACGAGTCTACTTAAAGCTGGACCAGACCTTCGACGGGAAGCTGCGACAGCGTTGCGCACACAAAACATATCGAGGTATGATAGATCGCTCAGATGTGAGCCGCCACTCGTCGCAGACACGCACTTACAGGTGCCAGCCTGGGCTGCACACGTTCTGACGCTTCCAGATTCAAACTTCTACAGCGACAGAGACCAGCTGAGGCGCCGAACTTCGCTGCTTATCCCCTCGAGCCGTTGTGCCGACTCGATCGGCCATATGTACGACAGGATCTGCACAGAACACCGAAGCCTTGTGAGGGTGATTCTGTGTAGAGCTTGCTCGCACATATGGATAGCATTGAGTTTGGGACCTCTCGCCGAGGGCGCTCCGCCACATCAGTGGGACGTGGCGTCATGTACATGGCCGCAAGGGTGAGATGGACCATTGAATGGGAAACGCATACAATGCAACAGCGGGAAGACGAGTAGGAACGCATTACAAGATGAGACGCGACGTACGTGAGCCATCACAATTCCATACGGCGAGTTAACGTAGAAAGGTTGTGCCTCCGCATGGTTCGAGCTGCCCGCAGTCGGATACCGTACTTTGGGGTTGTCAGACCTCCGTAAACATGACAGAACGCGTCCGAGGGCGACTCACCGTGGCCGACACCCATTCCGCCGATGAGCCTGGAGATGGCTGTGGCGTCAAAGACATCTCTGACCATTCCGTTGGCCTTGCACTGGTAGAAGCGTCCCTTGTGGCCGCAGGTGACGATCCCACAGGCGTCCTGGCCGCGGTGCTGGAGAAGCGAGAGGCCCTCGCAGATCTCAGAAGCAGCATCGATCGCCGGGTCGTGGAGGAGGAGGCCTAGGATTCCGCACACTGTTCCGAGGTTAGACGGGGCGGCACACGACGGGAAAACGGAGCACTGACTGGCTGGAGTTGGCGGGGCAAGATGCCTGTGGCGGGTGCAGAGACCAGGGGACGAGGAACGTGCGCTGCGGTTGTGTACAACATCTTTCCAACTCTGCGTCCAAGGCAATCCGGGATAGACTTCGGGCCTCCGCCAAAATTTCTGGCCCACCGGTCCGTGCCAGGCGCTACGGGGCGCGCGGGAGTGCTCGGGGTCCGTGCGGTGGCAGGGCTCCCACGACTGGCGCGCGCAGACGTCGGCCGATACATGGGGACAAGTAGCCTGCGAAGAGGGTGAACCCTTGGTGCATTGTGTGCGGTATGTATGCGAAGCTACGGACCAGCGCAACCTCGGGCGCGGGTCGAGGAGGGTGCGGAGTGCGGAGAGGACGCGTCGGAGGGCCCGCGCGGGGGCGGAGGGCGTCGGGGCAGGCCGGCAACGGGGCGTCGGAGTTTGAACGGCGAACTTTATTCCCCTACGTGTCGGCTGTCGAGCTCTCACCACCGCTCACCACCTTCACTGTCCACGTCGTCCACGATGCTCACCTCGCGCGGCGTACACCGTCTCTCCCGCAGAGCGCTGAACAGCGCGAAGAGGACAAACGCTTTCTTCTCGACCGCTGTCGCCGCGCCCATCCTTGCCCGGGCTGCGTCCGTTCCTTCCTCATCACAACGCGCCCTCCCCCGCTATGCCCCCGCCAAGTCTGGTTCGTTCTCTCTCTCTCTCCGTTCGCGCGGGAGGGCCATTCTCTGACGCATTTTCTGCCGTTTTTCTGTGCGTTTTCTGACGTGTAGCTCGTTCGTACGCGACTGAGGCGCAGGCGACGACCGGCCACGTAAAGACGGTCATTGGTGCCGTCGTCGACGTGCAGTTTGAGTCCGAAAACCTTCCCCCCATCCTCAACGCGCTCGAGGTCGTCGACTTCCACGGTGGTCGTCTCGTCCTCGAGGTCGCTGCTCACCTCGGTGAGAACTCGGTCCGTACCATTGCCATGGACGGTACCGAGGGTCTCGTCCGTGGCCAGAAGGTCGTCGACACCGGTGCCCCCATCCGTATCCCTGTTGGCACTGCGACCCTCGGCCGCATCATGAACGTCATTGGCGAGCCCATTGACGAGCGTGGTCCCATCAAGGGCGTCAAGCTCCTCCCCATCCACGCTGACCCCCCTGCGTTCGTCGACCAGTCGACGACTGCTGAGGTCCTGGAGACCGGTATCAAGGTCGTCGACCTCCTTGCCCCTTACGCTCGTGGTGGCAAGATTGGTCTCTTCGGTGGTGCTGGTGTCGGCAAGACTGTGTTGATTCAGGAGCTCATCAACAACGTCGCCAAGGCCCACGGTGGTTTCTCCATCTTCTGCGGTACGTCGCGCACAACCCTGTGTACCATCTTCTGCTGCAGATACTGACTTACTCGCGCAGGTGTCGGCGAGCGTACCCGTGAGGGTAACGACTTGTACCACGAGATGATCGAGACCGGTGTCATCAACCTCGAGGGTGACTCCAAGGTCGCTCTCGTCTTCGGTCAGATGAACGAGCCCCCTGGTGCTCGTGCCCGTGTCGCGCTGACTGGTCTCACCATTGCGGAGTACTTCCGTGACGAGGAGGGCCAGGATGTGCTTCTCTTCATCGACAACATTTTCCGTTTCACCCAGGCTGGTTCGGAGGTGTCTGCCCTTCTCGGTCGTATTCCTTCTGCCGTCGGTTACCAGCCCACGCTGTCGACGGACATGGGTGGCATGTACGTCCATATCATCATGACGTAACCTGAATTGTTGACTGACACGCGCTTTCGACCTGCAGGCAGGAGCGTATCACCACCACTAAGAAGGGTTCCATCACCTCCGTGCAGGCTGTGTACGTGCCCGCCGATGATTTGACGGATCCCGCCCCGGCCACGACCTTCGCTCACTTGGACGCCACCACCGTGTTGTCGCGTTCCATTGCCGAGCTCGGTATCTACCCCGCCGTCGACCCTCTCGACTCCAAGTCTCGTATGCTCGACCCCCGTATCGTCGGTACCGAGCACTACGAGGTTGCGACCGCCGTCCAGAAGATCCTTCAGGACTACAAGTCGCTCCAGGATATCATTGCTATCCTGGGTATGGATGAGTTGTCCGAGGAGGACAAGCTGACTGTACGTTGTCTGCGCTCGCGCCGTTGACCAGTGCTAACGATTTCGCCGTAGGTCGAGCGTGCTCGTAAGATCCAGCGTTTCATGTCCCAGCCTTTCGCCGTCGCCCAGGTCTTCACTGGCTTCGAGGGCAGGCTCGTCCCCCTCAAGGACACCGTCCGCTCCTTCAAGGAGATTCTCTCCGGCGCACACGACAACCTCCCCGAGTCGGCCTTCTACATGGTCGGCACGATCGAGGACGTCAAGGCGAAGGCGGAGCAGCTCGCGAAGGAGATGGGCGAGTCATAGGCGGCTGCTGTGCTCTGAGCTCTTGTCTCGGCGGGCGGTCGACGACGGGAACGACGGCGTGGACGTTGCTTCGGTGGTGCAGGGCTGGACCTCTTTACCTTAGACCTTGCATTGCCAAATAAAAACCAACCGCATTTAGCTTCTCCGTAATCCCCGCGCAATGTTCCTCCTGCTTCCGCCGCGTTCGTGCATGTGCTGTTGTTCGATGTTCGTTGTCGTCCTTGGGATAGTACCGGTCCGTAAGACGAGAATAGATATGGTTGCGCATGCGTCTCATGTTCATCTTCTGCTATAGCCCCTCAAGCTGAAGCACCACCGTACCCGGGCTTCTGCAGAGGGGAAATGTGGAACACATTACCATCTTCCGGGAGTCCAGACCATCTTGTGGAGTTCGGTGCAGAAGTAGCGCAGTGCCGACAGGAGTGCTTGATGAAATCATGGGTGCATCTGTTCAGCACCTACCTATGAGTAGCGCGTTGGCTTCATGGATCAAAGCTAGCGGTAGGGGATATGAGGACAAGGTGAGGTCCCAAACGGTACATGTATGCATTGCACAATCTTCTTACACGGCGCTATAGCCAAGTGGTTACGGCGACAGATTAGAAATTTGTTCTCCTTTGGAGGCGCAGGTTCGAATCCTGCTGGCGTCGGTGCTGATTGCGACTTTAACATCGTTTTTGTTTCCCTTTTACCGATCGCGCTGCGTCACTTGGACACAGACCTTCGTCCCGTGTACGCGAAATATTCTTGTCGCGCATTCTGTACGAGGGAGTCAAACGAGCAGAGTGACGGTACTGTATGCGAGCTATTCTATTTCTGGCGGCCGTCTTGCGTTCCGAAAGGCCGCACGGCGAGCGAATGACGAGAGTGACGTCAGAGCAGTTGTGGAACTGAAGGTGGACATGGTTGATGCTTCAGCGTCGCGGGAGCCGAGCACGAGCACTTATATACCCTCTCGCGCACACCGACTGCTCAGAATACACGATTGCTCTCGCCATGTTGACTTCCGCACTCCCCGCTCTCCGTCGCGCACCCATCGCCCTCCGCCGGCCGTTCTCCTCCTCGTCTCTCCTTCGACCAGCTTCTTCCGCCTCTCGCACCCCGCTTCCCCTCCTTCGTAGTCAGCTCATCGTTCGCGGAGCCGCAAGCAATGTCTCGGGACGCCCGGGGTCGCAGACAGTAGGCCATGCCGCGCAAAACATCCGTGAGGAAGTCGGCCAGTCCGCGGCCGACCTCGCCAAGGCCATCGCTGGAGGCAACGTCTTCGCTGACGGTGTTGAGCCTACCCAGCAGACATTCGTACGTCGCGGTTGTCTTGCTCTTGTCCAAGGCCCTGACGGACTGTATGCTAGCTCGGGGTCACAAATGCCGTCGCACACGCGGTGCCCAAGCCATACGTGATCTTCGGTCTTGCAGGAGGCTTGCCGTACCTTGGCGCGACGGGCGCGACTGTCTACCTCGCTCGTCAAGCCGGTATTGCTGCTCAGGGTGAGTTGATGGTATGCCACTTGCGTGCGTGCGACCCGAAGACTGATGCTGCCTAGGCCTTGTCCCGAATGTTGACCCCGGCGTTGCGATCACGGTTCTTGACCAGGCGTTGAGCCTTCAGACCACCTACGGCGCGGTCCTGCTTTCCTTCCTCGGTGCGCTCCACTGGGGCTTCGAGTTCGCAGGCTATGGCGGACACAAGTAGTATGTCCTTTTAGCCCTCCTCGAAGTATACGTGTTCTGACAACGCATTGTGAACAGCTACCCACGCCTTCTGTTGGGTGCCGCTCCAGTTGTCTTCGGCTGGTCCACATTAGCTTTCGAACCCGTGTATGCCCTCATCGCGCAGTGGGCTGGCTTCACCGCGATGTGGTGGGCTGACCTGAGGGCTACCGGCGCCGGATGGAGTAAGTGACCTTTCGTCACCACAGCAAGGTGGTACCTGGGATTGACGCACCTTGTCCATAGCTCCGAAATGGTACTCGCAGTACCGCTTCTACTTGTCCATCCTCGTCGGGTCGTGCATCATCGGCTCCCTCGCCGCCACGAGTTACTGGGGACCGGTCGGTGGCCACGGTATCGTTAGCCATGACTTGAACACGGTAAGTCGTGCGCAGCTTTCCCCTCTCTGATGCTTGGATCGTTGACCTGCGCTCGATAGATTCGTGCTGAGCGCAAGCAGAGGCAGCCTGAGAAGGAGGGTGTGGTGCCCGGGCCTATCGAGGCTGTGCCCGCCCCTGAGGATGCAGACAAGTACGTGGTAATCAAGAAGAAGGACGCAGAGAAGAGCGGAGAGGAGAGCGGCGAGGGAAGTCAGTGAGATGGTAATACTGATCACTTACAAAACATCACCATCAACACGCCCCCGGACGTTTTACTGTATCGCGCTAGGATATGCCAGATGTACGATGTACGATGTACGATAGCCACGAAGCCAAAGAATAATGGTACTTTTCAGGTTGTCGAACAGAGCTGCAAAGTGCAAATAGCGGTTGAGGCGGTCGAGGAGAGGATGCTCGAAAGTTCTCGAGATCGAGGCCGATCGCACGAGCGTCATACATGTAATAAATTCACCTTCCGTTCACCCACGTACCGCCCTTTCGTCTGCTGATTTTCGTATCTCTGCTGCATCGTACCCACCTGTCATCTCTACTCTATCACACAGAACAAGTCCAGACGCAATGGCGAGCACGATCCCGCAACCCATGGCACCAACCACGGCCAACTGGCACTGGAAGAACAAGACGGTCACCCCGTGGGCGAAGCAATGGTTTGACCGCGAGCTGACGGCGGTGCGCGTGAATGGAGAGGGCACGGAGGAGGTGGGGATTGAGCGCGTCGTGGAGGTCGACGGAGACGTGGAACTCGGTCAGCGGAAGAGCAAGTGCGTGTGCCACCTCTGTGGCTTTTCAGCAACATGCCCCACGCATACACTGTCTGGGATGCGCTGACATTGTTATATGTGGACGCGCAGGTTGCTCACGATCTACGACTGCAGAGTCGTGCTGAACTGGTCGGGCACCGCGTCGGATGGGACTGCTGTCTCGGGCAAGCTTACCATCCCCGAGGTCTCTCACGAGAACACGCTCGACGGAACCTCCGACTACGTCGTACGTACATAACTATCAGACTGGCCGCGTTTCGTCGGTACTGACGCATGATTTGTCCCTCGTAGTACGAATGGAGCCTGACCACGGCGCGCTCCCCGGCAGTCGACGCGCTCTTCGCGCTCGCGAAGTCTCGTCTCCCCTCCGCACTCGAGGCCAAGTTCGCCGCGTTCCCGGCGGCGATCATCGAGACGCACGGCAAGGACCTGACGGTGTCGGCACAGGGCTCGCGCCAGACGACCCCTGCCCCGTCTGGGTCCTCGACCTCCGCACCGGCGGCGGCATCGAGCGGGAGTGCCGACGCGGCGCTGAAGAAGAAGGCGGACGGCCCTGGGGTGGTGCGGGGTGCGGGAAAGGCGACGAACACGACGACGGTGACGGTGGAGGCGAGCTTCATGGCTGCGGCGGACGACTTGTTCTCGCTCTTGACGGATGAGAAGAGGATACCGATGTGGACGCGGGCTCCGGCCAAGAGCTTGCCGCAACCCGACGCGGAGTACAGCTTGTTCGGCGGGGGGGTCAAGGGCAAGTTCGTGTCGCTCTCGCCACCGAAGGAGTTTGTGCAGACGTGGGCGCTGTCCAGCCCAACGTGGCCTTCAGGTGTGTAAACTCTTCTGTGTACGTGCTAGGATCGTTCGACTCATGATTTGGGTGTCTGCCAGACCACTTTGCCAAGCTCACGACGACCCTCGACCAGGGCAGCGACTCGACGAAGGTGACGTGGACGTTGGAGGGCGTGCCTCTAGGCATGGAGGAAGAGATCACCCGCAACCTGAACGGCTACTAGTACGTGCATTCCCTCCTAGCTGACGACTGGATGACTTTACTAACATTTCGTGCAGCATTCACGGGCTGAAATCCATCGGGTATGTACAAGTCTTCCCTTATGTACCCCCACCGCAGAAGAAGCCCATCCCGGCCACGGACTCGAAGAAGTCGAAGTCGAGCACCAAGGGCCAGGGCTCAAGCGCGAGCGCGAACGCGTGCATGGCCATCGCGTTTGCCGGTCTCGCGCTCGCGGCTGCGTTCGCGCTTCCGTACTTCTACAGCCGGCCGTGACGGCTGTCTGGGGCTCCGTGGACCGTGGACGTCGGCTTCTCTCCCTCTCTCTCGCGCGCGCATTGCGCACACGCACCGGTGTGGTGGTTCCGTACTGTATGAACGCATAATTGACATCCTCTTCTTGGTCTGCGTGTGTGGACAGGTTGGGCACTGTGTTGTAGTACGAACGACTTGGACCAGGACTTGGAAGAAGACCGAAGACCGAAGTGGCGGGGGGGACAAGGCGGCTTTTGGTGGTGATGGCGATCTAGGTGTCGGGGGTCGCTCGTCGTGGGAGCGAGATAAGTACCGGGACGTCTACGGTCTGAGTCGGGGAGTCGTCGGGCGCGGTCAGGAAGGAGATTGAAGGACTCCGGGAGCTCCGTGCTAGAGCAGTGTAGAATCAATGTATTTCTTGCCAATGTCATGATCAAACTTGCGTGTTGAACGTTGAAACAGCGACTGCAAGACTTCAGAGACTTCAAGCTTCAAGTTCAGTGATCCTCGGCGGGGAGGGAGCGATCCGCGACGCGCAGCGCCCAAGGCTAACGGAGCGCCCACCCCGACAGTGCCGTTGCTTAGGCTACGCGATCTCGTGATCAGCATACGCGACGCGCGCCTAGTGGTTATTACGTCTTGCGTTCATTTCGGGTTCGTTCCCGTCGTCGGCCTTGGGTCAGCCCTGGTCGTCGACACCGTCCTCGCTTCCCTCCACGTCGTGCTCGCCCCTCTCCTCGTCGCGTCCACCGACGCCGGGCCTTTCTCTTACCTCTTGGGTTACCATTATATGCTGTGAGTGTCTAGTTCTCGAGTGACTCGCCGACGTGTCTGACAGCTTGATCCGCTTCATCTCGGCAACTCATCACCCTTCACTGGCTCGCGGCTCTGTCGTGCTTCGATTTGTGCGCGCGCTGTGGTTCGGGTTGGGACTGGGACGTTGTGCTCGACCTTGACAACGACCTCGACCTTCCCCTCTGGTGTGCGTGCGGGCGCGAGCAGTTCGGATTCCAACTTTCGTTCTATAGGCTCTCGCTCTCGGATAGGACCCCTCGTTGACGACGTTCAAATCTCATGTCTCCATGACCATCGAAGACCCTCCATGGAAGAAAAAGAGTGAGTGCTTGCGTTTCGTCTGTTTTGCGGTTGGCCAGCCTCCGCGGTTCTCGAATTGCTCTTCCCGAGCCGTTGCGAATGGATGGCAGTCTTCTGTCCCGACGACACCCATGCTATGTGCCGTCAAACATTCGGCGCATAACTCGCGAACGCCTGTTTTATCCTGTGCATTCACATAGTGGTAGGATCGGCGGTCGCATAGCGAGCGACACAATATGAAGCAATGTCCGCCGTGACAGCGTGCGTGGCGGGCGTCGTGAATCATCCCTCTCATTGTTGCAGGGCGTGGAGATGCACATATAGGCGAGTATATGCCCCGGATTGTGGGTGCGAGTTAGAACGGGGGAGTTAACCTATTCTTGCGATGATCTGCGTATATGCCCTCATTTTATCCGAGCGAA